TACAGGGAGCGGTCAACCCTCCTGTTTAAGGAGCTCCACTGTCTGCCATTCATTTTCTGGACCCAATTCAAGGTGCAGGTTCTCACCTACAAAGCCCTGAACGGTTTGGGACCCGTCTACTTTCGTGACTGTATCTCTGTATACGAACCCACACAATCTCTTCGATCATCTGGAGAGGCCCTGCTCACGCTCCCACCTGCATCGCAAGCATGATTGCTGGGGACGAGAGAGAGGGCCTTTTCGGTAGTGGCCCCTCGACTCTGGAACTCACTTCCTAAGGACATCAGGCATGCCCCAACCTTGGCAGTCTTTAAGAGGAGCTTGAAGATGTAGTTGTTCCAGTGTGCCTTCCCAGAATAATGATCCCATAGCACTTTGTCCTCCAAAGCACTTGATATTGTTTTAGTTCTGCTTGTATGTTTCCACAAACCGCCCCATCACTTTTTTCGCCCATGTCCAGCATTATTGTTAATTTTAATTACATTTGGCCTACCCATAGATTTTAAAGTGTGTTGTCCTATTTGATAATGCTTATGTTAGTGTTTTATTGTTCTGTTGTTTTAAATTGCTTGTATTGTTGTTGTTATTGCTTGTATTATTGTATTTTGGGCTCGGCCTCATGTAAGCCACACCGAGTCCCTTGGGGAGATGGTAGTGGGGTATAAATAAAGTGTATTATTATTATTATTATTATTATTATTATTATTATTATTGAAATAAAATTATTATTACTACTACTATACTATAGAAATAATGCAGATTGACATCACTTTAATTGTCCTGGCCTTTAATCTTTTCTGCCAAAGAGTGCGGATGCCTCACAGGACTACAGATCCCAGGATTGCACCACATTGGGCCATGGCAGCTACAGTGGTATCAAACGGCATTAATTTTATTCATGGTTTTCCTCTTTCATGGAGGTCCTGTTCCCTAACCCCAGTCACTGTAGAGTATTGGAACAGGAGTGGAAAGGCATTGAGGCTCAATAGCAGGCATGGGCAAACTTCAGCCCTCCCAGTGTTTTGGACTTCAACTCCCACAATTCCTAATCGCCTACTGGTAGTTATGAATTGTGGGAGTTGAAGTCCAAAACACCTGGAGGGCCGAAGTTTGCCCATGTCTGCTCAACAGTGTGACCTTGGATCAGTCATTATCTTTGTGGAATTTGCTTTACCGGATTGTTGCAAGCGAAGGGATGAATGGAAAAAGACACATGCTTTTTCAGGGAAAAGATATGGCTCTAAATGTGTATCCTTTTTTCTGATCAGCTGCCGTTTTGAAGAACCAAGACACTCTCCTAGTGATCTTGAAGAACCAGGACATGTTAAAGGAGCGTGTGGATAAGCTCCTGGGGACTCTTTCCAGCTTCGAAGAAAGATTTCAAGCCCTTGAGCGGGAGATGGGTGTCCTTGCCCAGTTCACCCAAGAACTCTCTCAAGTCGACAATGAAACCATCTGGGGCTAATGAAGAGACTTCCAAGTAGTCCAAACGAATACTTTGCTCAGCATTCAAAATATGTGTATGCTTGTGTGTTTCTTTCTCCTTATGTGAGGTGGAAACTTTAAGAGGCTGCCCTGGCCCTTAAATAGAGTTACATGTACAATAGAAAATATTAAATCCCATCATCCCTACAAAGATTTTTAGAATTCTGGTTTTTCATCTGGTTTACATACATTCCTGTTCTTGTAAATGAAGATGTGACCTATTCCAAAATAGGATCTGATTTGGTCTGGTTCAGAAGTCAGCTGAAGATGCTTATTGTTGTGAAGACATTCAGTTTGGACTATGTTCAGATTAAGAAACATCTATGGATCTAAAAAAATCTTTCTGATGGACACTTATCATCTCCTTTTCTAGATTTCATCATTTGTCCATCATCATTTAATTAGTAAGTATTCTGTGTCAAAATCCAGTGGTAAAACTTGATGCCGTTATATTCAATGTACATGGCATTGTGTAGCATCATGTTTTTTGTGAGCCAACAGTAGAATATAAACAGTTCAGGGATGCTTTCCCCTCAATTTACTTGCACTTAGGTTGGTGGGCTTTGAAGAATCAAATGTGATATAATGTCCACTATGGCATATGTAATAATGTTGACTCAATGATAACCTGAATATCCATCATAACCTAAATGGCTAGTTTCAACGAAATAAACTGCATTTAAGAAAGCTGCATATCTGACCTGTGCCAACCAGAGCTAGAAAGTAAAACACTCAGAACAGCCCATATTTTGGAGGGTCTGATGCAATATTAGGAAATAACAATTGCAGTGTTTCATCTCAGGTTATGTATAAGTGTTGCTTCTCCATAGTAATTGATTGTGCCCATACTAGCATGTGCAAATGCCAAAATAAATAAATAAAAATAAACATTCGAGGACATGCAAATATCTCCTGGTTCTGCTTTTGTAACATAAGATTAAAACTCTTTCAAGGATGTAGAGGTGATAATACAGTAAGATCCCTGTATTCACAGGGGAAATGTTCCTGGGTGGACTAGATATCTGAAACCATAGATATGACCAAGCACAATTAAATGACCTGACTTCTGGGCATAGCATAACATAGAGTTGCATTGGAGGACCTATAGCTTTCTAGTGATTCCATCAGTGCTGCCTCCGAAAAATCCTACAAATCTCTTCGGAAGACAGGCAGGCAAATGTCAGTGTGCTGGAAGAAGCAAAGACCACCAGCATTGAAGCGATGCCATCAACTCCACTTGACTAGCCATGTTGTCTGGATGCCCGACCACTGTCTCCCAAAGCAGTTGCTCTACTCCGAACTTTAGAATGGAAAACCGAATGTTGGTGGGCAGGAAAAGAGATTCAAAGATGGGCTCAAAGCCAACTTTAAAAACTCTGGCATAGACACCGAGAACTGGGAAGCCCTGGCCCTTGAACGCTCCAGTTGGAGATCAGCTGTGACCAGCAGTGCTGCAGAATTTGAAGAGGCACAAATGGAGGGCGAAAGAGAGAAATGTGCCAAGAGGAAGGCACGTCAAGCCAACCCTCATTGTTGGAGTATTTAGCAGGGTTGGGAATCTATAACCCTCCATATCTTGGACTTCCTTGACCACATAGATGCCTAACTTTTGAGGACCCCACCATTGCAGCCAGGGGACCCCATTGGTTTAAGAAGCAGTGCTCTAGATAACACTATGTAACACAATTTTTGTTCCTGGGTTACGAATGTCATTTCCTAATTGGGTTTATCATAGAAACATGGGAAAAGTTAATTAAACTGGGAAACTTTGTTTCCGTGAGACATCTTGCAGCACATTTTGCTATAGTATTTCAATGAACATCTCTTAAAAGAGTCGCAACCAATTCAACATAGTTGAATGTATTGTTGAAGGCTTTCATGTCCAGAATCACTGGGTTGTTGTAGGTTTTTTCGGGCTGTATGGCCATGTTTTAGAAGCAATCTCTCCTGACGTTTCGCCTGCATCTGTGGCAAGCATCCTCAGAGGTTGTGAAGTCAACATAGTTTATGGCAGCCACAAAAATAATGTTTTTGGAGTATAGCGACTATTTTTAAAGTAAGTGCCGCACAATTAAACAGGAAATAACACTTTTAAGCCAGGAACAGAAAAAAGTCACATTTTGTTACATAGCAGAGGTAGGAAAAGTTCAAGCCTCCGAATGTTGGGAATGCATCTTCCATTATAGCCAATGATGAGAAATAAGTTAGATCTCCATATTCATTGGATGTTAGGGGCACAGGACCGCTGTGAAAGTGAAAAAACACAAATATTATTATTAATTATTAATCTTTATTTGTACCCCGCTAGCATCTCCCGAAGGACTCGATGCGGCGTACAAAGGCCAAGGCCTCAAACAACAACAGACAATAACAATACAATGCAAGCAAATTAAAAACATAAGCAATAACAACAACAAAACATCACACTATTACGCAATAAAACCAGGGCCGGGCCAATGAAGGGTACAGGTTAAAAAAGTGCTGAGTGTAAGAGGTGATATGTTGGGATTCTGGGCAAGTGCAATGTGCAGAGAGTCTTAAGCTCTAATAAAGTGCTTCTGGGACGTAGTGCTGGAGGTTATCCTATTCAGGAAAGGCACATCGGAATAGCCAGGTCTTCCAAGTTCTTCTTAAAGACTGCCAACGTGGATGCTAGTCTAATGTCTTTGGAGAGGGTGTTCCAAAGTCGGGGGGCAACCACAGAGAAGGCCCTGTCCCTCGTCCCCACCAAACGAGCCTGCGACGCAGGTGGAATCGTGAGCAGGGCCTCTCCGGATGAACAGAGGGAGCGCGTGGGTTCATATATCGAGATGCGGTCACGCAGGTAGGCAGGTCCCAAACCGTTTAGGGCTTTGTAGGTGAGCACCTGCACCTTGAATTGGGCTCGGTATGTAAACGGCAGCCAATGGAGCTCCTTAAACAGGAGGGTTGACCTCTCTCTGTAAGGGGTGCCAGTTAACATCCTGGACATAACATAGAGACATTGCTGTGTACTTTTAAAAATAAATTCCTCTTTAGGAATTTCTAATATAATTTTTAATAAATTTAATAATTTTTAATATATTTTTAATAAATATAATTTTTAATAAATTTTCTAATATAATTTTTAATAAATATAATTTTTAATAAATGTTCTAATATAATTTTTAAATAATTTTTAAAATAAATTCCTCTTTAGGAATTTCTAGGTTTTCCAGCATGACCTGGGTTCTTAAAGGGAGTTCTGCTCTTCTTTACATGTGTCTCAGCTTCTTGAGACGGAACCTAGCAGGCTTTAGGACCCTGTGATCAGACTGACCTTTATCCGCCTCCTGCTCAGTATCTCACACACTAATACCTGGACCCGCTCCCCATTGGCCCAGAGGAATTGCGAGCTCGCTTCCTATTGGTTGGTGGTAGCGCTGAACTCGCTTCCCATTGGCTGCTGATTATTCTGGGCTCGTTCTCCATTGTCTTCAGTGTGTGTTAACAAAGCGACCCAAGTGCGCCTGTCATTTGAGGCTGCGCAAGGAAGAGGGAAGGAGGTGCCTCGATGTAGCGGCGCTTGGAGTGAACGGGCGCCACCTAGAGGTGAAGCGCAGCACTGCAGAGAACTCTTCCTCCTCTTTTGGCATTTATTATTCCCAATAGTGTTTTTTTTTACATCTTTCCTCTTTTTTTCTGCCTTCTCTCCTACAGAAGCAGCCTTTCTCGCTGTGTCTATCCACATTGAAGAATTAATGCAGTTTGCATAACTTTAAAGTGCCTTATCTAGCTCTGTACTGACCATATAATGCAGTTCCAGACTGCATTATAGAGCCAACCTTAGTTCTTTCACATTTCTTTTCAACGTTGGGCTTCTGACTGCTTCAGATCAACATGTTTTCATCTTTGTCCACCTTAAATTTCTTAGAGGATGATTATAATTATTTTTTTTATTATATTGACAAGCTGGAATGTGTCCAGAGGGCGACTAAAATGATCAAGGGTCTGGAGAACAAGCCCTATGAGGAGCGGCTTAAAGAGCTGCACATGTTTAGCCTGCAGAAGAGGGCTGAGAGGAGACATGAGGGCCATGTATAAATATGTGAGGGGAAGTCACAGGAAGGAGGGAACAGGCTTTCTGCTGCCCTGGAGACTAGGATGCAGAACAATGGCTTCAAACTATTTATTTATTTATTTTGAACATTTCTACCCCGCCCTTCTCAACACCCGAAGGGGGACTCAGGGCAGCTTACAAAAGGCACAATTTGATGCCAGCAATACACATAGTAAGATAAAATACATAGCATCGACAGTTATAAATAGTTAAAACAGTCCAATTATACAATAACAACTAATAAAAGCCAATCCAGTGATCAACATTCGCCAAGAAGGAGAAACTACAAGAAAGGAGATTCCATCTGAGCATTAGGAAAAACTTCCTGACTGTGAGAGCCGTTCAGCAGTGGAACTCTCTGCCCCGGAGTGTGGTGGAGGCTCCTTCTTTGGAAGCTTTTAAACAGAGGCTGGATGGCCATCTGTCTGGGGTGCTTTGAATGCAATTTTCCTGCTTCTTGGCAGGGGGTTGGATTGGATGGCCCATGAGGTCTCTTCCAACTCTTTGATTCTATGATTCTGAGAAACCAAAGTTAGAAAAAGTAGGAGTATCCCCTCCCATTCGGGAAGGAGCAATGTGTATTGTGTCTTCTTGTTTATCTTTCTTAGTGTATATTTGGTAGAATGCAGAGATAAGCTTAAGCCAATGAAAGTAGAAAATTGTATAATGTGACCAAATATGGGAAACTTGACCTAGGGTATAAAAACCTCCTTGTAAACATCTCAAGTCATAGTTCTAGCCTAGGTCAAGACCTTCCTGACTGTGAGAGCTGTTCAGCAGTGGAACTCTCTGCCCCAGAGTGTGGTGGAGGCTCCTTCTTTGGAAGCTTTTAAACAGAGGCTGGATAGCCATCTGTCGGGGGTGCTTTGAATGCGATTTTCCTGCTTCTTGGCAGGGGGTTGGACTGGATGGCCCACGAGGTCTCTTCCAACCCTATGATTCTATGTTCAGGAAGAGGGAGGAGGAGGAGAAGCAGCACTTGTTATCGCACTTTTCGATAGCCAAAACCTGGGGACAAGGGACAGGGCCTTCTCGGTGGTAGCCCCCCTGCATGTGGAATTCGCTTCCCGGGGAAATTAGGGCATCATCATCCTTCCTCACCTTTAGAAAGAAGGTAAAAATGTGGTTGTGGGACCAGGCCTTCGGGCAATTAGGTTAAAGGTCAATTGATAATGTTTGACTATGGCTTAGAAGTGGATTTGGATAAGTTAAGCAGAGTAATCATTAGTATATGGCTAGATAAATAGCCACCAGACTGGCAATAGCTAAATGGATCGTAAATATACTGTTTAATAGTTATTTATTAATGCCCCCGGTGGCGCAGTGGGTTAAACCCCTGTGCTGGCAGGACTAAAGACCAACAGGTCGCAGGTTCGAATCCGGGGAGAGGCGGATGAGCTCCCTCTATCAGCTCCAGCTCCTCATGTGGGGACATGAGAGAAGCCTCCCACAAGGATGATAAAAAAAATCAATTCATCTGGGCGTCCCTTGGGCAACGTCCTTGCAGACGGCCAATTCTCTCACACCAGGAGCGACTTGCAGTTTCTCAAGTCACTCCTGTCACAACAAAAAATAAATTAATGTTCATGTTTTTAATTGTTATATTTGCTATTTTGTATTTTATGATGCGGCATTGAATTGTTGCCAATTGGAAGCCCCCCTGAGTCCCCCTAGGGGTTGAGAAGGGCAGGGTAAAATTTTTCAAAATAAATAAATAAAATAATTAAGAGGGTTTTGTGAGACCAGCCGCTCTCGTTGCAACGGTGTAGTAACGGTGATGCTGGATGGCCATCTGTCGGGGGTGCTTTGAATGCGATTTTCCTGCTCCTTGGCAGGGGGTTGGACTGGATAGCCCTTGAGGTCTCTTCTAACCCTAAGATTCTATGATGTATAAAAAAAGGTCATGGTGAAAATTAAAACAGACTGTCCCAAAGAGCCATCCCAGTGGTGAGCAAAGAAAAATTGATCCCACTATGGGTGAAATCTGTGAAAGTATTTTTTAGCTCCCATTTGGTAGGTTTACCTGATATGACACTTTTGGGTGTGCGATGGTGAACCTAGAACACGGAAATCACTAATTCCAAGCTGGTTTTTTTTTCTTCCATTGACAGTGCTCTCCCAACATGAAAGACAGCAACGTCCTTAAGCCCCTCCTCGATGGAGAACACATTGTTGTCCCCCCTGAACAATGCACTTCATATAATGAGAGATTATTAGAAATGCTATCAAGAAGCTCACTACCTTTACGCAACATCATTGGCAAGGACACAAGATTTGCCGTATTCTGTTTTTGCCAGTCATCTCCAAAATCCGAGGCCACCCGATCCGAGGGGCTAAGAATCTTGATTTTGACTCTCGTCTACACTTTTCTCCTCGGATTGGTCATTTTTGCAGTGGGCCGGTCCTATGTCTCAACCAAAGTTCATACTTATCCCATTCAGCCATACGCAAGAGAGTTTGAGAGGATCAAAGGTGTGATGAACATAAGTATCGCCGTCTCAGGAGTCCCGAAGAATCTGACTCTCGCAGCCCTGCTGGAGGCCAAGGGGCAAGAACCACTTGGGGGAGCCATGAGGATCTGCTTGGATAAAGCTGCTCAGGAGTTCTCTAAGGAGCCGGTCATAGTAAAGAAAAATACATTGATGGTTATTCTGTGCAATGGAACAAAGCAGGTCTTTCGCTCCGGGAAAGGGCAAAACAAAATCGGAGTTGTCTTGGCCAATGAGAAGGTGTATTACTTATTTGTACATGAGGCCAGTGCAGAAGTCCATCTGGCAAGGCTTGGGCACCAGACATTCCCACTCAATCGGACCAGCATCCTCGATGTCCTAGGGGAACTAAAGTCCCAGAATGGCTCCGAGGAGATGCAGCAATGCCTCAACAAAACCTTAATGGAGTTGCCCCAGGAGCCCACAGCAGTGCTGGCCAATGCCAAAATGGTGGTGTCGTGTGGATGGCAAAACCTGACCTTCCTTTCTGGGACCGGGGAGAATGAGATCCGTGTGTATAGAGAAGAAATGGGTGGGGAGATCCAGTTCCGGGTGAAAGCTTCAGGGTGGGATTGGTGGGCCAGGGTTTTCACAAGGGGAAGAGTGGTGTGACAAGACCTGAGAGGACCACGCAAAAATGAGCTCTGTGGCTCTGCTGAGAAACCGAGCAATTTCTATAGTATTTGAATACTTCTGAGCTCACGTTACTAATTTTATCCAATGTCTGTTAGTCACATAGATTGCAATAAATAACTGCTTCAATGCAACCTTTGTTCAGAATATTCTTTCAGGACTGAGGATTTAGTTTAGTTCCTTCCCATTGGCTTTTTTTTTGCTGCCGCATCACATTGTTGGCTCATATTTAACTTGTTATCCACAAGAACCCCAAGATCTTTTACGATCCCACACGATACCTTCGATCATCCGGAGAGGCCCTGCTCTCGATCCCACCAGCCTCACAGGCACGATTAGTGGGGACGAGAGAGAGGGCCTTTTCGGTGGTGGCCCCTCAACTCTGGAACTCTCTCCCTAAAGATATCAGACATGCCCCAACTCTGGCAGTCTTTAGGAGGAGCTTGAAGACGTGATTGTTCCAGTGTGCCTTCCCAGAATAATGATCCTGTAGCACTTTGTCCTCCAAGCACTTTATATTTTTAGGTCTGCTCGTATGCCCTTCCACAAACGCCACTATCACCTTTTCGTCCATGTCCCAGCATTAGTCCCCATTTTAACTTTACATTTGGCCTTCCCACTGTTTTTAATTGTGTGTTGTCTTATTGCTAATGTTGTATATTTTATTGTCTATGTTTTTATTTAATTGCTTGTACTGTTGTTGTTATTACTGCTTGTACTGCTCGGCCTCATGTAAGCCGCATCGAGTCCCTTGGGGAGATGGTACCAGGGTATAAATAAAGTATTATTATTACTATTACTATTATTATTATTATTCACATGTATAGCTTGAGAGCAGTACATGTGAAAAAGATCTCAGGGTCTTTGTGGACAAGATGTTAAATATGAGTCAACAATGTGATGCGGCAGCAAAAAAGCCAATGGGATTTTGGCCTACATCAATAGTCATCTAGTGTCTAGATGCAGGGAAGTCATGCTGCCCCTCTATTCTGCTTTGGTTAGACCACACCTGGAATATTGTGTCCAATTCTGGGCACCACAATGGAAGAGAGCTATTGACAGGCTGGAATGTGTCCAGAGGAGGGCGACTAAAATGATCAAGGGTCTGGAGAACATGCGCAGCTTAAAGAGCTGCGCATGTTTAGCCTGCAGAAGAGGGCTGAGAGGAGACACGATGAGGGCCATGTATAAATATGTGTGGGGAGGTCATGAAGAGGGAGCAAGCTTGTTTTCTGCTGCCCTGGAGACTACGACATTGAACAATGGCTTCAAACTACAAGAAAGGAGATTCCATCTGAACATTAGGAAGAACTTCTTGTGAGAGCCATTTAGCAGTGGAACTCTCCGCCCCGGAGTGTGGTGGAGACTCTTTAAAATATTTTAACAGGCTGGATAGCCATCTATCGTGGGTGCTTTGAATGCAATCTTCCTGCTTCTTGGCAGGGGTTGGACTGGATGGCCCACGAGGTCTTTTCCAACTCTATGATTCATAATTGCCTTTCCATGAATCCCTGGGAGGAGTGGCTTAAAGAGTTGGGTCTGTTTAGCCTGCAGAATAGAAGGTTGAGAGGAGGAGATACGATAGCCATGTTTAAATATATGAAAGGATGTCATAAATAAGAGGGAACAGGCTTCTTTTCAGCTGTCCTTGAAAGTGGGACTCGGAACAATGGGTTCAAATTATAGGAAAGGAGACTCCACCTGAATATTAGGACGAACTTCCTGATCATAAGAAGAGCTGTTCAACAGAGGAACTCTCTGCCTTGGAGTGTAGTGGAAACTATGCATGTGGGTTAAAGTATGAGCTCAAGTGCTAAAACTACCTCTTTAATTAAGTGTTCGTGTCACTTTTTAATTGGGACAGTCTGTGGAAGTACTTTTAGGCTTCTTCGACCTCTGCTTAGAAACTCACCATCATAACATTTTAACAGTTCTGGCATATCAGTTTCTATCAATCTTTCTGGAACAGATCTGAAAGCTGATGAAAGTTCAGCAGCTTTCTGGGTACTTAAATTGCTGGATGCTTTTAAAAACACTGGCCTGGCAAGTTTTCGGATGTATTTACTACTTCAGAAATTCACATCAAATGCACTACAGTCTGTAAGATATTTTCTAGTTCAGAGTTGGACAGAAGATAGATCGGGACCCAAAAGTAGATTTCTAAGAGATTTGTAGCAAATCAGGAAAGATATGCGATACCCATCTATTTAATAACAGCAGGTAAAGGTTTTTCCCTGACATTAAGTCCAATTGTGTCTGACTCTGGGGGTTGGTGCTCATCTCAATTTCTAAGCTGAAGAGCCAGAGTTGTTCATAGACACCTCCAAGGTCATGTGGCCAGCATGACTGCATGGAGCGCCATTACAGAATGGTTTTTCACTCCATCTTATATGGTGATGTTGAAACAAAGGAAATTTTGGATAAATCACAAGTGAAACCTGTGTGTGTGTGTAAGAGTTATGAGAGCCTCTTTCGTTCTGGTACTTAAAAATCAAACCCCCAGACTATTAAACCAGGGTATTTTATTTGTAACTTTACAAGCCACAACACAACTAGTTTGCTCTAAGCTGTGGGTTGCTGAATAGTTCAGGTTCCACTCATGCTTAAGGGAAACAAAGCACCTAAAACAGACCTTCCTCAACTGTGTCAACACACACACGCGCATACGCATTTGCATACACACACACACACACACACACACACAAATCAATCATACAACTTGCCTTTGGAAGTTGCTGCGCCTAATGGGCTGGATTCTCATGTTTCTTGCAGGCATGTCAACTCAAATGAGAGCCACCATTTCATCAATGCAAAAGGCTTGTCAAGTAATTAATTAATTAGAAACTGAACTTAGAAGACTGGTCCTAAAGCAGACCTTATTAATCTGGTACCTTCTAGATAGCCAATGTCCATGCTGAATAGGGACAATGGAGACTGTAGTTCAAACAAATCTAAAAAACATAAAATTGGAAGCAAGGTTTTCTGAGAGCGGTGGTGCCATAACTTCTGGCTCTCCACGTGTTCTGGACTTCAGCTCCCAGAGTTATCTTGGCCATTGGACAAGTTGGCCAGGGCTTCTGGGAGTTGGCGGGCCAAACATCTGGAGGGCCACAAGTCTGACACCTCTGTCATAGAGAAACTGAAATCACCGTTTGGATTTCCACCACCATGTTCAAAGGGTGCTGGAATTCTTGCTCAACATGTATATTTTCCATTCAAGTAAACATTTTGTTATACATTCATTATACATTTTTTCCAATTCATTGTTAAGAGTTTTATAATACACGGGCATATTTAGATCTGAGTCACATAGGTATGCCCATGTGGTAAAGTGCTGATTCACAGTGACCAGGCAAGTGGCTGGTGTAACCACGAATGCAGGACTGCATCATCGGAAGGTATATAAGCAACCAACCATGATGACTGCTGATGGATGATTGCTGTCGGAGAGTTGGAGGATTGTTGGAGAGTGTGTGTATGTGCATCGGTGTATAGCACTAGCTGTAAATATCTGCACTGCTGCAACCAAAAACAAATCCTTCCTGTTGGAACATCTGCTGTGTGCAGGTATCTTCCATACATCAAGAGTATCTATAGTTTGTGCTTCCTCCAGCACTCTGCATAAGTATTAGAACTATGGCATTCCGAAGTCTGTTTCATCTATGGAAGAGAAGCTCCCATCTCCTATTTAGTTCAACTCAGGTGATTAGAAGCACTTTCCTCTGAAATTTATCAGAATGAGAGGCCCAGTGTAGTATGGCCACACTGGGCCTGAAGGCCAGACTGCTGAAGGCAGTGGATCTCAAATATGGAACTTCAATGTTGGACTACAACACCCAGTAGTCACGGAGAAAGATGCTGTGAGTTGTAATCCAACTTCATATTTGGAAACCATGGTTCCAATGACTAACAGCCTGCTCTCCATTTTGGGGCTTTATTTTAGTGCTAGATGGCTGCAACCTTAAGTGATTCACAACGGTTTTGTGGCTCTGAGCTGCAATTAGAATTGGGAAAGTTTTTTTAAAAAAAATAAATAAATCTGACAACTTCCAGAATCCACTAGCCAGAAGTGTCTCAGACCAGATGATCCATGCCCAGCCTCATTGACTCTCTTGCACCCATGTTCTACAACCCCATAACAAAGACTGCCAGAAGTTGCTAACAGGGCACAACTCTAGTCATAGCTTTAGCTGAACTGCAGGGAAAGAGAAAGATATTTATCCTCTATGCTATCTGCCTGCAAGAATAGAGAATCCATCCTGAGTCCTTCACAGTAATACCACATTCTTCTAAACCCATTCAACAGGACATAAAATTGCCCTTTCATTCATACCTATTTCTAAGCAGCTCTGCCCACAGCCAATGCAAACACAACTCTTAAAACCCCCTACTAGAGCAGGTTTATGTCTTATGATGTCAAATTTAAATCTGACTTAGAACTTCAGGATTGCAGCAAAAAATGTGCTTCTCGCTGCCTTTCCTGTACGTTTGAGCACTACAAACTGCGTCACTGTAACAAGCATCTCTCCTTTTCTTCTCCGGTGCCGTATTCCTAGAATCCGACCCCAAAAAGAAACACAGTGTGACTTCTGAATGGCTCTGTGCTTTTTCTTCAGTTGACTTGCTTCTGATCAGAGATGCTGCTGCTTTGCACTTTCATTGAGAACTTTCCTTTTCACTGAGAAGCCAAGCTGTTAGGACTCCACTCAATGTATTTGAGGGCCAATCCTAGCAGGGGAAGACAGTCCTTTTGTCACTCCCAGTCCGTTGGCGGCCGAATGATGAGAGGGGAAGCATTCTTGCGGCCGGCACGGATCCCTGGATAGAAAAAAGGCCAAAGCTTCTCAGTGAAGGTGTCACTAAATGTGTAAATATGGGAACGGTCCGTCACATTGTAGAAAGAAAGTTTCCCAGCCTCGTAGTCCAAGAAGACACCCACTCGCTTGGGCTTTGTGGTGACATTGAGCGGGGTGAAGGGTGTTGTGGTGGCTGCGTACTTGTCCCCATTGAACAGTCTCACCCGCCAATAGCCGGTCTCCGGTAGGGAGGTCGTCTCCCCTTTACGGCTTACCGAGTCATTGCAAACCCCCAGGGCCCAATGGGTCTTTTCGCCCACTTCCACCTCCCAGTAGTGCCGTCCTGAAGTAAACCCTTCTGTTGCCAAGACGCACGGGTAGACGGTAAAGCGCCTCGGACTGTCTGGCAGATCTCTTAGGCGCTGCTCCACAAACTTGACACTCTTCCGGTCCTCGGAGAGCACTAGGTTGGGATGGGCTGTTTCAGGATCAAGGATCAGATCTCCTGCAGAGAAAGGGAGAGAGGTTTGTGGGTGCTCAGTTTTAAGGAAAGCCAGTGTGTTGTATCCTCTTCCTCCCTTCTTACAATTTGTTTTTGCCAGCCAGTTCAGAATGCATTCATTAAATGCAACTCTCATTTCATCTTTGGTGGAAATCTCCCTTGTATTCATATCTTCATTAGGCTTTAGGCTCACTACCAATGTTCTCCCTCAAGACTGAAAGTCTAGCAGTTTCTTTTGAGACTTTTCCAACTCTGGCATTACAAATGTTTTGGATTACAGCTATGCTGGGGGATTTTGAGACATATACTAAACAATAATAAAAAATGTATTTCTAATTGTTTTTATTATTCCAATTATTTTATATTTTATTTACAAATTTGGCGAGCACACATGGAAAATAATATGTTGATCACTCACATGTGCTGATAATGGACAAGAAATGTTTAAACACCCTCTGATATCCACACATTGGAGACAAACTCAAAATTGGAAGGAGGGAGTAATGAGAGGAGAGAGGTAAGACATGGCATCTCCATCATCACTTGTCTTAAAGTGGCCCATTAAAACACCTTTGTCCAACTCGTCACCACGTGAACCCAAAAGCCCCGTGCTTCTTATTTGGAATCCTGACCACCATTAACCTATTTTTGGCACCAAATTAAATATTTGTCTTTTTGTCCTAATCTTTGTGGCCCAGTGATTATAGATTGCTGTGAGGTTGTTGGGTCTTTGTTTTTTGTTTTGATCTGTATTCACCAACGGCATGAGTTGCACACTTACGTATATCCATGTTAATAGGTTCCTAATGTCAGAACTGAACTTAAATGGGTTAGTAAGAACCAGAAAAAGCTTATCTCTAGTATTACTCTGTATTACCATGCTTTCCTCTATTGGTATTAGTTACTAATAAAAAGGAAGAAGACTCCTCTTGACTTGAACTGGATCAGGATTGATTAAACTTGGCACTCGAATCCTTACCTTCGTTTGACACACCTACACAGATTAAAAAAAAGAAACCAATGCTTTACTAAGTTTTGCAGATGAAGTAACTATAAAAAGGTAAAGGCTTCCCCTTGACATTAAGTCTAGTCATTTCCAACTCTGGGGGGTGGTGTTCAACACTCTAGTCTTCAGAAAACACAGGTATTTATCCTGAATGTAGAGTTTCTTTAAGTTTCCAGTATCTTTCATTTTCAAATTACATTCTCCCCTTGATGCTATTATCCTGTTTCTTTATCCAACACCACCAAATGTCTCAGTGCACAAATATTTCTATCACTTGGATGCTGCTGATAGACAGAAAGTGTGGTATAGTAGTTGAGTGATGTACCGTGATTCTAAAGACCACAGTTTGGATCTTCACTCAGCCATGGAAACCCAGAGAGTGACCTTCAGCAAGTCACATTCCCTTAGCTTCAAAGGAAGGCAAAGACAAATTATTTCAGAACACATCTTGCCAAGAAATCCATGACTGGAAAACTTTAGAGTTGCCATATGCCAGAAATAGCTTAAAAGCATGCAACAAAGAGATGAACACCCAGACATATGAGTGGGAAATTCACCGCACCCCCAAAAAGTTATTTGTGATGTCTTAGCCTAGACTTTTCCCCTCCTGTGTTTCACTTCCTTGTTTTGTTCTCCCTTTGTTATGGACTTCTCCATTTGTGCTTAGTTTTAGGGGTGGAGCTTAAAACCCCCTAGAGGCCTGGCGTTGTTGGTTTAGACCTTTTTGCCTCAGAACTTGTCTGAAAGGCTTTTCCCTCCTTTTTTTTTTTTTTGGTCTGTGCCAGAGTTTTGGAGGAAAAGGCCAGCAATTGTCTGGGTTCCTTGGCCTGGCAATCTAAACAGGCATTCCATAGCATGTATTTACCAGCTGTATATACTACGTATATACCTTATAGCAGGGGTCCTCAAACTAAGGCCTGGGGGCCAGATATGGCCCTCCAAGGTCATTTACCTGGCCCTCAGCCATTTCAAACCTAAGTCTGAAATGACTTGAAATCACACAAAAACAGCAACAATCCTATCTCATCAGTCAAAAGCAGGCCTACACTTCCCACTGAAATACTAAGTTTATTTTTGTTAAAATTGTTCTTCATTTTAATTATTGTATTGTTTTAAAGTATTTTTTGAACTACAAATAAGATATGTGCAGTGTGCATAGGAATTCCTTCATGTTTTTTTTCAAATTATAATCCAGCCCTCCAACAGTTTGAGGGACTGTGACCTGGCCCTCTCTTTAAAAGGTTTGAGGACTCCTGCCTTATAGTGTCTTCGTAGAATCATTACAGTATATACCTCATAGATCTTCATAACTGTATTTACCATATAGTCACCACAGCTGTACATACCGCATAGTCATCTTAGCTGTGTATTTACCATATAGACACTATGGCCCAGAGTGCTTTACCATTATAGCTTGTACCACTACCATTTAGTTATTATAGTTCTGTACTTTACCATTTTAGTTCTGTATTATATCAATAGCCAAGTACCTAACTGAAGACAATTATAGTCAAGCATTTTACCTCATATTTTATGAATATAGTCAAGTGTTTATTTTCAGTGTAACTAAGTTCAAGCAACAAACGTTGTCTTTGTAATATTTTATTTAGATTCACTTTTCAAGAACTCTGACTGAGGTTACCTTTGTCTTTTGTTTCCAGTAAATTTATTTGGTTAACTTTAATCCTGTCTCAAGAGTCTTTATTTTTAAAGAACTGAAGTACATCAGAGGGTATACTGATAGCTGCCGGGAATAGCCAGACATACAGTTTTCTTCTACCCCGGCGTGCCATCACTCTATTCATCTGCAACATCATCACACTTACTTACCTGTTAGCTTCTTAAGGATTTTTCTCAGAACAAAAAACTGTCTGGGGAAGTTGCAGAAATTTTTTTCTAGCTCAATGGAGACTAAACATGGTTCTTGGGCCTGGAGCTCTTCAAATCTGCAAGGACAAAAGCAGAGAAACCTGGGTAAAGCTCCAGGAGTAGGCTGGCTTAATGCTTGTGGGATCAACAATTAAGAAAGAGGGTTGCTAAGAGCACCCACATAGCCATCTAGCTGTGATTAAAACCAAAAACATTTAAGTCCTTTCACATATAATTCGTTCTGACTTAGATGCCACAGTTGATACAGCTTTGGTCGACTGAACTTCAGCTCCTGCTTGTCCGGTGTTGATGGATACTTTCCAATTTGAGGATGTGGACAGAATCCTTGGAGAGGTGAGAACAACCACACGTGATCTAGAACCCTGCCTTTCCTGGCTCATTAAACCGGCCAGAAGGGAACTGGTGGAGTGGGTTGGGGAAGTGATTAATGCCTCCTTTTATCAGGGCAGGGTCCCTGCAGGCCTCAAGGAGGCTGTGGTAAGACCACTTCTAAAAAACCTGCCTCTGTACTGGAAAACTACAGGCCAGTCTCCAATCTCTCATTTTTTGGGCAAGGGACTGAAGCGTGTGGTGCCTTCCACAAATAGATCAAGACCTTCTGCCAGCAGGCATCTGAGGGAGGATGAGGGGCATGCTGCTGGGAAGGTAGTGGGTAGGATTCGGGGGTTTCAAATATATATTTAATTGTATATTAACTTATAGTAACCACAGTACTATTTAATTATTTTTAACATTTGAATTTGCTTTGTTTTAAACTGTGACCAGACTGTGTGATGAAGAGGTGAGATGATAGCCATGCTTAAAACATATGCCGTATTAAGGATGGAGTAAGCTTGTTTTGTACTGCTCTAGACTCCAGAAACTAGAACACAGAGCAATGGGTACAAACGATAAGAAAACAGATACCACCTATACATTAGGAAGGAAGAATGGAACTATAAATAACCTCAACCCAAGCCGAGAGGGAGGGGTATTGGCAATCAGACTATTCTTCAGGCCTTCTAGCTGCAGAACAGAGATCCACAACAACAGTCAAATGCTGGCCATTGTCAATGGATTCTAAATTATTTTATTATAGCAAGATGGCTTATACTGTAAAGATTAATATTATCTGTCCTGGCACTATTCACTGGGCAATTGACTTTACTTTTTAATCAGAGTATGACTGTGTAATTTGTAGATTTTAAGCTGGGTTTTCTGGGATATCCTTCTTACATTAATGTATATATCTAGGCTGCAAATATAGTCTTAGAACCTACCACACTGCTTACTTTTCACTTTCTTTCTTTTTCAGTATTTATAACATTCTTTTAAAAAAACACAACTATAGAAAGCAGCAACGACATTGCCAAAATGATTAAAATGAAATGTGGCCCTTACCTTTCAAGAGTGCTCTTCACATCCTGCAAAAAGAGAAATAATTTGAACTGATAAAGATTCATCTTTGAAGAAAGCCTAAGAACAGCTAAAAGCTGTTTGAATACACTGCCTTGAAATGTCCTGGAGCTTCCACCTATGGATATTTTTAAAGAGACTGGATAGCCATCTAGTAGGAGTGCTTTGATTGTGTATCCCCACATGGCAGAATGAGATTGGACTGGATGGCCATTGGGGTCTCCTCCAATGCTATGATGTTGAGCATCCCTTATCTGAAATGCTTGGGACAAGATGTGCTATGTATGTTTGATTTTGGAATACTTGCATATACATAATGAGATATTTTGGAACTGGGGACCAACAATAAACACAAAATTAACGTATGTTTCATGTACACCTCATATACATAGTCTGATGATCATTTTATATAGCAGTTCTATTTTTTTCTGGATGAAAAAAAACCTGTATATACTAAACCAGTGGTTCCCAACCTGTGTTCCGTGGACCACCAGTGGTCTGCAAGAACTAAAATATGGTTCGTGGCCTCACCGATACTACACCTTTGCAACAAGAGCGACTGGTTTCACGAAACCCTCTTATAGTGCTGAGGCAATGGGGATGTTGGGAGGAGAGAGGCTGAGAACACACGAAAGGTGTAACAACAAACCTCCTGACTGCTGCTTTTCCTCCTCCTGCCTCCCTCTCCCTGAGTAAAGCCGGTCCATGTGGCACCTGGAAACGGGGGCACCTTGGTGTCTTCGTTTTTAGGCCTGTTCCTGGGGTTATTTAGGGTGCTGATTCAGAAAAATGAATTGGATAGACTACATCAGCCTTAGATTACTAAATATGGTTTTCTGTGGGCGAGCAGATGGTGATTACTGGGTGGCATATGTTCTGTATCAGAAACTAGAGCTGATGTGGTCTATTCAATGCAATTTTTTGAATCAGCATCCCAAATAACCAACCCGAATCTGAAGCTGACCAAAAACTGATTCATAACCTTTTTGGTACTAATGTTGGGAGAGTGGTCCCTGGTCAAAAAAAGGTTGAGAACCACTGCACTAAACCATCAAAAAGGAAAAGATGTCACTACTTCAGCCACCCATGTGAACAAATTCGTATTTTGGAACTTTTGGATAGGGAATGCTCCACCTGTAATCGCCAAAGAGCTTAACAGCTATTAATCCTTCTACAACCATAAAAGTTTTTAGGTGTAAATGAAAGCTGAAGTTCTGGAGCTTATGGTAGCAGATTATTTATCAAACTCAGCACAAAATCTATCATCTGCAACATGGTTACGATTCTACCTGAAACTACTCCTTCTCCAGTCAGTGTGGAAGATTCTAGAAAGCTTTGTCTTATGAACAATTGTAAAAAAAAAAATCCACAGCTCTCTTATTACTTGACCATCTGACACACACCCCAAGAATATTGAATTTTCCTTTCTGGTTTGAGCCCTCAGGAGTTAAATACTCAATGATGGCACAACAAAGGGAAAAAAGAACAAGGAAAAGCACCCCAAATATCTCCTTTCTTTCTCAGTCTATTTTCCATGACAAAAAGCCAAGTGTGCTCCTGGCAACTGGGCAAGATCAATGGCCTGGAAATACATCAAACCCTATCACTTTCACCTAAGAATAAACAGTTCACTCTTTAGAGGAAGCTCCAGAGAATGGGCTGTTCCTTAAAGGACGTGTCCAAAGACACTGACAGAGGGGAATATTCCCTACCTTCTAGGAAGATGGGAGTGTTAATGATGCACTCCTCACCTTGAGCATTTCAATGCCCGACTGCAGGCACTTCTCCTCAATCTCTGTGATGAGACTGTTGAGAATGGCCCGCTGCTCAGACAGCTTTGCCACGTTCTCCTTCAGCTTCTGCAAAATTTCCTTCTCTTCGTCTTCCAGGCGCTTCATCAGGATTTCTTGCTCAGCTGCCAGGAACAGATGCAACTCTTCAAATTCACTGATGATGAGCTGGCGGCGGTCTTCAATCTTTCTCTGTGCAGAAAGTAGAAGAAAGATTGGGTGGATAATAATATTGCTGGATGGAAAAGACCTTCTTGCTTAGATACGTGCTTGCTTTTAGGGTTCCATCTAATGTTTACATTCTATTACGTGTCTGTTTTTATTTATATTGTTGCTGTTTTGTATTTTATATGAATTACTCAATTACAGTAATGCTAACTCCTTTGAGGAAGTATCAGAAAACTGGGCTATGCTTCAGTATAAACAACAAAATAATACAGGGAACTTGAGATCCCCAATAAACTGGATTAGTACAAACAGACATCGAATTGCAAGAAGAAGAAAAAACTCACTCAGACGTTCAGTACAATAGAGTTCAAGTTCTTGTTAGATAGAACAGGACAATTTCCCCTTATCTTTAAAAAAGCCCAGTAAAAATAGCAAAGGAAATTAAAGATACATTATTCTGGTATCTGTTATGACCAAATTATGTATCAGGTTTCTCTACAAGACACTATAAATTTATTCGGAGAGTGTGAGAATTTTAGAGGATACCAAAAGATTGTAGAAAAAAACCTAGCAATTACACCAAGGGGAGTAAGTTAAAAGGATGGGAGAACAGGTCAGTCAGATTTTGAAAGTAGCTAGTTTGCAATCACTACTTGTTTGCAAAGAGTACAAAATTATGCAGTGCAAATATAATCACATTCTATCAAGACTCAGAGGAACCCATTGAACAAATTCTGCCAAGAAAACCCTGCAATAGGATTATCATAAGAAATTATCTAAAAACACACAATAAAAAACTTCTTTGGTAGGAGATTCTCAAGGTACAAAACACAGCATGTAAGCGCTTGCCTTTAGTTCCCCAGGTTTCTTCTCCTCTTGGGATTTGCAGTAGGCAATCTTCTGCAGCTTTTGTTCTAGTGGCTCCAGGCACTTCTGCATCTTTTCCTATATGAAAGAGAAGCAACAGGGATGGTCGTTAGAAGAATAATTCAAATTATCATTCAGAGCAGTCCAACAAAATATCCCTGAGAAGCCTTAAGGCCTGCTGAAGGTTAAGAGCCTCGCTTCCACAGACTGTTGTTTATTTGTTTACAGCAGAGTCTCACTTATCCAACAAAAACTGGCCGACAGAATGTTGGATAAGTGAAAATGTTGGATAATCAGGACAGATTAAGGAAAAGCCTATTAAATGTCAAATTACATTATGATTTGACAAATTAAGCACCTAAACATCCTGTTTTACAAAAAATCGACAGAAAAGGCAGTTCAATACATGGTAATGTATGTAATAATTACTGTATTTAAGAATTTACCACCAAAACATCACAATGTATTGATAGAGCTGTGGATCCGGGCGGGAGGTAGACTGCTTTGGATAATACAGAACATTGGATGAACAAAGTTTGGATAAGTGAGACTCTACTGTATTTATTTTGTATGCTGTCTTTTTCTCAGATCCAAGGCAGCTTCCAGAGAAATAACTTTAAGAAACCATTAACAATAAAATGTAAAAACAATTAAAATCAACTCATAAATATTTTGAAATCAATTTTAAAACAAACTAAAGTTTTAAAAGATAACCAAAACATTTTCAATGGAAAGTCCTCCTGCTTTCACATTAAAAGTCTGCTTAAACAAAAAGGTGTCCACATAAAAGGAGGGAGAGGGCCAATTTATTCTCCTACAGAAGAAACTTCCAAAGGTGCTAGCAGCCACTAAGAAGGCTCTCATCAAAAGGAACCTATGAAGGTAGCAGGGTCAAGTGAAAGCCCTCCCATGAAGATCTTAGACCCTGGCAGGCTCATATAGTGAGATACAGTCTTGCAGATAATCTGAGCCCTACTGAATACAGATATATTAGCCATGACGAACACTTTGAATTGCAATGCTTGTAACAACAACAACAACTTTATTTAAATACCGTCCTATCCCCCAGAGAGAACTCAGGGCGGTTTCCAACACAGGGCAAAACATTCCATTGCTGAGCAACACAAAAAACATACAAAAATGAAACATTTTAAAGCATAAACATATCACATTAAAACAATCGCAAACATTTAAAAGCCAATTTCAATTTCAATCCATCCAACGGGATTCAAAATACTAATTGAAAAGAATATTATATGTTTGCTATAACTGGCCTCAGTCAGTTTTCTGTCTGAACTACTTTTGATTCACTGAAGTTTTTGAAAAGTTTTCAAAGGCAGCCCCACATAGCGTGTGATATAACAGTCCAAACAGGGTGCAATCAAGCCAAGTGTCACTCTAGCCAGATCTGATGTTTCAAGGAGCAAGTGCAGCTGGTGCACTGGATTTAGATAGGAAAATGCATTGCTGCCCACTGTCGTAACTTTGATATCCTTAACCTTAACTTTTATCAAAAGGAACAATTTCCTTCTCTGTGTAGAGTGGCAAAAGGCCTTTGAATGTCTGGGCAGGAAAACGACAGTGCTGGTGCTTTTGCCTCTCTGCAAAATAGATCCAAGGAGCACCATGCTGAGCCTCAAAGTTTAACCCTCAACTCATTCGTAGGTCATATGAAAAGCCATAATTTTTGTTCCAAATCCTGCTCTCAACATGTAGGTTGACTTAATACTCCTCCCCCCCCCCCCCCCCCCCCCCCCGTGGAATTAGATCAGCCCCCTCCCTTCTGGCCTTCAGAAAAAAAGTGAAAACATGGCTTGTAGTGCAACAGATGGATATGGAATATGTGCAATGACTACTGGAATGGCCCTGGATTACGAATGTGGATGGGGTGGTCTTAATAGTGAACGTAATGCTTTAAATGTTATTAATGTGTATTAATTTTAACTTTAATGTAAATGTTTATTTTAATTGTATGTTGTTTTAAGGTACTGAATAGTTGCCTATATGTAAATATTGGCTATAAATAAACCTTGGATCCCCTTTGGGGTTGAGAAGGACAGGGTATAAATATGGTAAACAAATAAATAAATAAGACAGAAGTACAAGCCATCTCTGAGTTACAAGCAACCAATGTACAAACAACTCATAGTTAAGAACAGGGGTCAGGCAAAAGCAAGCGAGAGAAATTGACCCCTCAGAAGGGAAATTTACTCCATAAAGAATTATCATGGGAAAAAGGTGTCTCCCCAAAGCTTTCTTTCTATAGGAATTTGAAAGAAATAGAGCTTTCTGCATAATACAGCAACTTGTCAGAAACTAGATAAAAACTGACTATATCAGGGATCGGGAAACTGCATCTCACCAACTGAATGTATTTCATGGTGGATTTTTTTGCAGCCTCTCCCAATCTCTCCCAAAATGTAAACTGCCACCCTTCCAGGATCAGAAAATACTTCAAAACTATCCCCCAAAAAGAAAACCAGCTAATCATGGAAGCTGAATGCTACTTTAGTTTTTGTTTGATCAACTCTGACTTTGTTGTAAGTCTCTTTAATTTTCTGGCACTCACGCAGGCTGTGCAATGCACACTCAATGCAAACTCATCTACTGTTGTGATAACAAGGGAACAATGGTCTGACAAAAAGAACAGGTGCATATCTCATTCATACTTCAGCTTGCCGTCCAGAATGCTCTTCACTGTGTTATTTTTTTTTTAAAAAAAATATTGACTGCAATCATCCTTTAGCCCCAACTTTACCTTATATTCTTGAGAAGCATCATCCACAGAGACAACTGTGTGAGAGCGGTGTTCGAGGGAGATCTCGCACACTAAGCAAACAGCCTCCTGGTCCTCCTTGCAGAAAAGTCCGAGCACTTCATTGTGCTTTTTACATAAGTTTTCGTCCCGCACCTTGCGCTTGTTTGTGACCTGCAGCTGCTTGGCTATTTCTACCATGTTGCCCAGCTGCCGGTTGGGTTTCAGAATGCGGTGGCGGGAAGTCTTACGGCAGACAGGGCAAGGGAAGTCCCGATTTAGGTCCTCCCACCATCGGGTAATGCAGTCTCGGCAGAAGTTGTGGCCGCATTCAATGATGACAGGGTCTTTTAAGTACTCCAAACAAACAGAGCAACTGGCTTCTACCTGAAGGTTCTCCAGAGGGTTTGTGGTGGCCATGGCTCTTGAAAAGCAGAGGAAATACTGTGGTCAGAACCAAGCAAGCCTCAAGAGTTGAGAATGTTTATGACAGCATACATTCACTCTACATGGATGAATGCTTAAGTATTGGGCCTAACTAGTCACATAATCTTATGCTGTCGCTTCCTCAACGTTCTTGTCCTAGGAGTTCACCCCCCTTGTACAAAGGTTTGTTTATTTCCCTGTCTCTCTATGAGTTCTCCCTTACAAATAGTTCTGCCCCTTTATCTCACCCTGAGTACATAATTTTATGTACATGTGGCCCGCTCACTGTCATTATGTTTGGTTTACTTCTTAAAAAAATGTTTTGTGTATATTGTTTATATGCTTATATGTTTTATACTTTAATGTTATGTTGGTTATTTTATTGCAATTTGTATCTTATTGTATTGTAATTTGTTGTTCAGGCTTGGCCTCATGTGAACCGCTCTGAGTCCCCGTTGGGGGGGATAGTGGCGGCGTATAAATAAAGATGATGATGATGATGATGATTAATATTATTATTATTATTGGCCTCTAGGACTGAAGAAACCCACTTTTAAAATGGAGAATTGCAATGCTTTATGGTGCTGAGCTTTGAAGTGGAGAAATAGTGTGTACCTTTTGACAAGAACATGTCTGAGAACCTGGACACAGTGACATCCGAAAAATATAATTGTCACAATATTTGCAGATATAATAGAATGTTGAGCAATCTATAAAACATTGAAAAACCTTTTGATAAAAAATTTGAGAAACAAGGGGCTTTCCAAGTAGGTGCAGATAAAGAGCTGCAGCTCCTGACCTGCACACCAGACCCTTTTGGAACTGATCACTTCAAAAAGGGTTTGCTGCATGAAGTAAGCACGAGAGAATGAGTGAGACTCCCCTACCTTGTATGACTGTTTAGATTAGAATGAATTAGCAGGCCAATAAAGTAGATGAAAGCCAGATCCAGTTGTCTGTGAGTTTACTTCAGGCATCCTCCAGCTGTTTGGGCCTTGACTCCCAGAAGCCTTAGCCAGTTTGCTCAATGATCAGGAATTCTGGGAGTTGGAAGTCCAAACAGCTGGAAGGCTGCAGTTTGAGGATGCCTGGTTTACTTGAACTCTACTTGGCTATGTCTTGAAATACTCTCTGGATGTAGAAAGAACAAGGTCACCCACTTTGTGACATATTTAACCAGCATCAAACACTATGAAAATTACATCCAAGAAGGAATGTCAAAGTTATCTATAACCAAGCAGAGGTACAAGAGTGCTCTGGTTCATTTCTAGTATATACATCTAGAAACTGTATGCATCTAAAAGACTGTACATCCAAATACCATGGTGGGACTTATGAAACTCTCCAGATATCCTTGCATTGCCACTCCCAGCATTTCTCCGTACTAGTGTAATTGGTCAGGTCTGCTAGGACATAGTCTCACAACATTTGGAGATCCACTGTAAGCATGTATGTATGTATGTATGTATGTATGTATGTATGTGTTATTTATATATTGCTCCTTCCTACCTCGAGGATTCAAAGCAACTCACAATTTAAAAAATATGGTTAAGGACATACCAAAAGTGAATATTAAAATAGAATGAAATTACAGTATTAAATCAGTTCACCTCTCAAGTTAATAGGAAATGCAATTCCAATATATAACCAATAAAATATACATCTATATAATATTGAATACATGTTGGTTACATGCAAGATATGTGCATATTTCAACCTGTTTATTGCTTTGAGTATTCAAAATATTTCATGCTTTCTATGATTAACCACATTTTTTGTTTTACTTCTCTATCTTCTCTTTGTTAATTACTCAAAACCTTAACACTGAAAGTCAGTACAAAGTTACTTTAAATGATTTGAGTATTTTAAGTTATTATAGCATTAAAAAAGAATAAGCAATTCACATGTTTTCATTTGTTCTGTAACTAGTTTGATAATGATTGAACAGGTATGTATAGGCCACAAGCAATGTACCAGTGCTATGACAATTTTATGTCATGTTATGCATTGCCATACAATTTATTTATGTTGTCATTTTATGGTTTTATACAGCCCCTGAAGGCAGCCTTAAGAGCACAAGGGCCAAAATCCACCAGGCTCTTTCATCAATAAAAAAATAATCTTTTGAACTTCTTGGGATGTGTCCCCAGCTTCTTCTATGAACTTTATTGGAGACATTCTAGTAGTTGCTGCTGAAAAACCATGATTAAAAATTGATACTCACTGTACTGCTGAACTCCTAAGAAGGGTCACTTTCAGAAGTCCATGCAGATGAAGGCAACATCTGAACAGGAGATCCTGCTAATAGGTTCCACAGGGCAAGCACACCGTGCAGGATTTGGGGACCAGTACCTGAAAAGACAAGAGGGGGAAAAAGGTATTTAAAATAAAACCCAAGGTAAAGTATGAAATGTTCTGCCTAAAGCAAGATGCACCTAATGGGCCACTATGACAGAATGGGAATCTGCCTTCCATGTACCAACTGGAAAATGCAGCACTGTATCAAGGATGGTCAGATTGCAGTTGTTGTAGTGCAGTGTGATGGTAACGTTGCTACTACTGGTAGAAGGGAGAAGAGGGCTGCACAGGTGTTGGAAGAGGAGCAGCAGCGAAAGCAGATTAGGGAGATAATCATGGCTCCGAGTGATTCTGAAACCTTTGAGGGCTTCTCCGACTGTGAAATGGGAGATGGGGAGGAAAGCAGGGGAGTCAAGCGGGCTACTCACGAACAAGAGTCCGACGAGGAGATTCAAAGGAAGCGTATCCGTGATATACTTAGCGCTCCTACAGAGGACGAGGACTTCATGGGGTTTGAAGGGAGTGATGGGACTGTGAGTGACACGGGGGAGGAGGATGAGCTGGATTGGACCCGTGTACAAGAAATTAGGGATATCTGTAATCAACCCACCTCCAGCGAGGACTTTGAGGGGTTTACTGGGGAATGACAACCGAGAAGCACTTGGCAAGATCTAAGTCTTGACAGACGCTGGCAAAGGTGGAGGGATGGGCGCTTGGGTTCAGCTGCGGGGAATGGGGCAGCTGAGAGGGATGATGAAAGGGTGGGGAGCTCCTCAGATTCTGATGAGGAGCTTTAGGATAAAATGGGGTTTTGTTGTATGGATCTTTGCAGTGTCTCTTTTGGGGTGTGAATCTTTGTTCCTGCCAACTCTCGTGCTTGGGTCCTTGGACTACAGATTCCTGTGTTCCAGCGTTCCTGTTTATCTTCTTGTGATTCTGTGCTTGACGACTGCTGCTCTACTGTTTCGACTCCGGGCCGTTTTTTAACTACGTTTTGCTTCTTGGACTAACTCAACTTGCCTACCTTGTGCCACGACCTTAGAACAACTTTTGGACTCTGCTTTTTGTCTCTGCTCATTGTGTTTTTTGAACTGTGTGAGTTTAAAGCGGATTGCTGTATTTTTGTGTTAAACCGGATTAAAACGCCAGGATAATCCGGGTTATATTTCAGTTGCTTATATCACCTTATTTTTGATGCCAACTTGTTGGCTGAGCTTGAGGCATTGAATTTAAGTGTTTCAAAGACTCTGTTGTGAACAATAAACTTGTGTTTGGACCTTTATACTTGTGCTTGGCTTTACTGAGGCTTCTGGGTCTTGACAGCAGTGCCACCAAATCTACTTTATTTTGTACTAAACCCCAAGATCCACCAATCAAATGTCAGGTACAAAAGGCATATATTCAGAATTAGGCAACATATTGTCAGTAAAAAAATAAAAAGAAACCCAAACCTTACAAATCATTCTGAACTGCATTTTTAAAACCAGAACTGAACTGAGCTCACATAAGAAAGTCCATATCAACTGCATTCTAGATTTTCCCCCCACTGCTAGTAATAAAATTTATGGATCCCCAGTTTTTTAAACATTGCAAATTTTTTTGCAATGTTTAAAAAGCTGGGAATCCATAAACCTTGACAATTAGAAAGCTATCTATTAGTACACTGAATTTTCTGAGCGATATCTTGGCGGTTCTCAGCTAACCAATAAAAAAGCAGTATAACACCAGTTCTCTATGTTAGGAGAACTTGTAATCTGTCTGTTTTTTAAAAGGATTCAAATATTATACTGTGGAAAAGTATCTAGACCAGGGATCCCTAAACAAAGGCCCTTGGGCTGGATGTGATCTTCCAAGGTCATTTACCCGCACTTCACCCTAAACTTTAACTTCGGGTCACTCTAAATCTGAAATGACTTGAAGGCACACAGCAATAACAATCCTAATAAATTTGATTATATCATTAGCCAAAAGCAGGCTGACACTTATTATTGAAATATTGGTAAGTCTATGTTGGTGAAAAATGTTTTCATGTTTTTTTCTACTACAAACCAGATATGTACAGTGTGCATAGGAAGTCATTCTTTTTTTAAAAACTATAGTCGTCGTCCCCCACTCCCCAATCCCCAGTCTGAGGGAACGTGAATGGCCTTCTGCTTAAAACGTTTGAAGGCCCTTGATCTAGACACAAGTACTGAATCCTGTACTTAAAGCACTCTTAAAATGCCTTTTCTGAAGTGCCTGCAACCTTCACTGGTAGCCTAAGAGGAACGGATTAGTCTTGAAAGAAGTGTAGAAATTTTTATTAGCTGCCTTGAGCACCAAGTCTAGGGAAAATGTGGCATATAGAGAAACAACGTTCTCATGAGTACATATGATCTGGTATGTACATAAATGGGATTGGGGGAAGAAGCAAAATAGCTACAACAAAGCTATAACTTCAAAAGTAACTTGTATTCCATATGTTACAAAAAAAATATCAGTATTCCCATTTCAATAACAACTGTACTAACAGTGTCTGGACAAGAAACATTTCAGAGACCTTTGAGGAACTGTATAACAATCCACTTACCCCATGCTTGTTTTATCCGAAGCTGATCAATTGGTATGTTCATTTTCTCCTCTGGTTAGGTTTTAGATAGTAAATAGTTTATTCCCCAAGAGCAGGTTAATGATCCAATGACACAGGACAGGTTGAGCAGTTGTTCTTGATCTCCTCCAACTCTGCAATCCCAAAGTTGTTTCAAGATGGAGGCTGTCTTCTGTACCTTGGCACTATATAATTGAGATTGTGGCTGAAATTACAATGGTTGATAGCAGTGTGGGTCAGAGTGGAACAAGAGGAAAGACCAATAATACTTCTGCAGAACTTTCCATCCCATCTCCTTCCCAGATTGAGTAACTCAGGTCTATTCAACCTGTGGCCCTCAAAGTGTTTGAGACTTCAGCTCCCAGTAGTACTATCCAGATATTGTTGTTATTATTGTGTGCTTTAAATCACTTCTGACTTATGTGGCCTTAATGGGTTTCTAAGGCTGAGAGTGTGGCCCCTTCCACAAAGCTGTATACAATCCACATTGAATTGGATTGTATGATAGTTCAAAGCAGATATTGTGGATTATCTACCTTGATATTCTGGGTTATACAGCTGTGTGGATAGGCCCTGGGTTATATGGCTATATGGAAGGTTCTATATGTCTGGCCCCAGGTCCCCCAGTGGGTTTTCACTGGTCAAGCAGTGATTCAAACTCTGACTGTCCAAGACTCAAAATACTATGCCACCCTGACTCCTGCATTATACTGCATTTTCCCCTTAATTTCCAAAGCATCTCATGGCCCTGCCACACAGCCATATAACCCAGAATATCAAGGCAGAAAATGCCACAATATCTGTTTTGAACAAAATTATTTGAGGGCCCTTCTGCACAGCCCTATATCCCAGAATATCAAGATAGAAAATCCCACAAGATGTGCTTTGAACTGGGTTATTTGAGTCCACACTCAGATAATGTGGGATTTTCTGCCTTAATATTCTAGGATATAGGTCTGTGTGGAAGGGTACTCTGTTCACACTGCCATATAAAATGATTATTTTGTTATTGTTATTATAATAATAAATAGCAGTAATAGTTATTTCATATTACATGTAATATGGTATAGTACAATATAGTAATATATAATATTACTATTGTGCTATGCTAATAATATAATATATTGTTTGTACTTGTAACTTGTAAGTCACTCTGAGTCCCCTTCGGGGTGAGAAGGGCGGCATATAAATGTCGTAAATAAATAAAAATAAATAAATATAATCCAGTTCAATGTGGATTTTATACAGCTGTGTGGAAGGGGGCCTCTGTTCACACTGCCATATAAAATGATGTAATATATAATATTACTATTGTGCTATGCTAATAATATAATATACTGTATGTACTTGTAAGTCACTCAAAGTCCCCTTCGGGGTGAGAAAGGCGGCATATAAATGTCGTAAATAAATAAAAATAAATAAAAATAATCCAGTTCAATGTGGATTTTATAAAGCTGTGTGGAAGGGCGCTCCGTTCACACTGCCATATAAAATGATTTTTTGTTATTGTTATTTATTATTATTAGTTATTTCATATTACATGTAATATTACTAATATTATAACATAGTAGTATATTACAATATAGTAATATATAATATTACTATTGTGCTATGCTAATAATATCATATATTGTATGTACTTGTAACTTGTAAGTCACTCCGAGTCCCCTTCGGGATGAGAAGGGCGGCATATAAATGTCGTAAATAAATATAAATAAATAAATATAATCCACTTCAATGTGAATTTTATGCAGCTGTGTGGAAGGGGCCTCTGTTCACACTGCCATATAAAATGATTATTTTGTTATTGATATTTATTATTATTAGTTATTTCATATTACAAGTAATATTACTAATATTATAGCATAGTGGTATAGTACAATATAGTAATATATAATATTACTATTGTGCTATGCTGATAATATATTATATTGTATGTACTTGTAACTTGTAAGTCACTCCGAGTCCCCTTTGGGGTGAGAAGGGTGGCATATAAATGTTGTAAATAAAATAAATAAATATAATCCAGTTCARTGTGGCTTTTATACAGCTGTGTGGAAGGGGCCTCTGTTCACACTGCCATATAAAATGATTATTTTGTTATTGATATTTATTATTATTAGTTATTTCATATTACATGTAATATTACTAATATTATAGCATAGTGGTATGGTACAATATAATAATCTACAATATTACTATTGTGCTATGCTAATAATATAATATATTGTATGTACTTGTAACTTGTAAGTCACTCCGAGTCCCCTTTGGGGTGAGAAGGGCAGCATATAAATGTCATAAATATATATAAATAAATAAATATAATCCAGTGAGAAGGCCGGCATATAAATGTCGTAAATAAATAAAAATAAATAAATATAATCCAGTTCAATGTGGATTTTATACAGCTGTGTGGAAGGGGCCTCTGTTCACACTGCCATATAAAGTGATTATTTTGTTATTGTTATTTATTAGTTATTTCATATTACATGTAGTATTTCTAATATTATAGTATAGTGGTATAGTACAATATAGTAGTATATAATATTACTATTGTGCTATGTTAATAATATATTGTATGTACTTGTAACTTGTAAGTCACTCCGAGTCCCCTTTGGAGTGATAAGGGCGACATCTAAATGTTGTAAATAAATATAATCCAGTTTAAATTTGGACTGTATACAGCTGTGTATAAGGGGCCTAAGATCCTATCTACACTCACCATTTAATGCCATTTCAAACCAGTATTGAAAAAGGTGGTTTTGCTGTGCAGATGATTACAAAGAAAGTCCTGGAAAAGGCTTGGGTGGTGATCACACATGTCATCAGGTGCACATTAAGGACTTTTTAGTGAGTTTGTTGCCCCGGCTGCTAGCTAGCTTTGGACTGCATTACATGGGGCCTAAGAAAGAGGAAGAAACAGCTAACCTGCGTGGACAGACATATACAGGAACTTTATAACTGAAACCCCTTTGTGACTTTTGGCCCAACCTTATATACCAGGCATGGGCCAACTTGGGCCCTCCAGGTGTTTTGGACTTCAACTCCCACAATTCCTAAGCGCCTACTGGTGGTTAGGAATTGTGGGAGTTGAAGTCCAAAACACCTGGAGGGTCCAAGTTGGCCCATGCCTGGGCTAGACCTGGAGCTATGGATTCAAGGAAGGGGGCTTCCCATATACATACATATACACACACACAGCTATACCTGGAGTAGACTGGGAGCCGGGGGAGTGGTGTTTTGGGGCGCCCAGCAGGGGCCCTGCGAAGCCCCTCTCTCGCAATGTCCTACTGGCTGAAATGCCCTCCCCTCCAAACAGGAACCGGCGTCACCGGAAGTAGCCCTTGACCATAGAGAAAGAGAGAAGAGCCCAGAAGGGCTCTCCGACGGGATTGGCTGGACGGGTGATGGAACGCCGCGTTGCTAGGCGACGGAGAAAGAGGGGCCGGCAACCAGCAAGGCATTCGACTGAGTTTTCAAACTTTGGGCCTGTGAGCGACTCGGACTCCAACTCCCAGAAGCCTCAGCCAGCTTTACCAACGCCCAGGAATTGTGGGAGTTGAAGTCCAAAAGACCTGGAGGGCCCAAGTTGGCCCAGGCCTGCTAGAGAGGGACAGAAAGTGCGGGGAAACGTTCTTAACTACGGGTTGTTGTAGGTTTTTTCGGGCTATATGGCCATGTTCTCCTGACGTTTCGCCTGCATCTATGGCAAGCATCCTCAGAGGTAGTAAGGTCTGTTGGAACTAGGAAAAAGGGTTTATATATCTGTGGGACAAAGTTGAAGTACTTTGGCCACATCATGAGGAGACAGCAAAGCCTGGAGAAGACAATGATGCTGGGGAAAGTGGAAGGCAAAAGGAAGAGGGGCCGACCAAGGGCAAGATGGATGGATGGCATCCTTGAAGTGACTGGACTGACCTTGAGGGAACTGGGGGTGGTAACGGCCGACAGGGAGCTCTGGCGTGGGCTGGTCCATGAGGTCACGAAGAGTCGGAGACGACTGAACGAATGAACAACAATAACAACAACAATATCTGTGGGATGACCAGGGTGGGACAAAGGACTCTTGTCTGCTGGAGCTAGGTGTGAATGTTTCAACTGACCACCTTGATTTGCCTGGCAGTGCCTGGAGCAATCTTTTGTTGAGAGGCGCTTAGATGTCCTTGTTTGTTTCCTCTCTGTTGTTGTGCTGTTCTAATTTTTTAAAGAGTTTTTTTAATACTGGTAGCCAGATTTTGTTTATTTTCATGGTCTCCTCCTTTCTGTTGAAATTGTCCACATGCTTGTGTTTTTCAATTGCTTCTCTGTGTAGTCTGACATGGTGGTTGTGAGAATGGTCCAGCATTTCTGTGTTCTCAGATAATATGTTGTGTCCAGTTTGATTCATCAGGTGCTCTGCTATGGCTGATTTCTCTGGTTGAAATAGTCTGCAGTGCCTTTCATGTTCCTTGATTCGTGTTTGGGCCATGCTACTGCGTTTGGTGGTCCCTATGTAGACTTGTCCACAGCTGCATGGTATCTCCTGCAGAAGTGAGAGGATCCCTCTTGTCCTTTGCTGAACGTAGCATTTGTTGGATTTTCTTGGTGGGTCTGTAGATAGTTTGTATGTTGTGTTTCCTCATCAGCTTCCCTATGCGGTCAGTGGTTCTCTTGATGTATAGCAAGAACACTTTTCCTCTGGGTGGATCTTCATCTTTACTCTTGTGGCTTGTTCTTGGTCTTGCAGCTCTTCTGATGTCTGAGATGGAGTATCCATTGGCCTGTATGATCTTGGAAGCTTTGCTGGGTGGAGACTAGTCTGAATTGGGTTATGAAGCCATGGCTTCACCTCTGCCCATTGTACTCATATTTGCTGGCCGTGAGTCGTTTCCAAACCCCAAGCAGGCCGCGGAGGCATCCGCGGGAAGGAGTGGATCCTGTGCCCGCTTCTCCTGCCTCAAATCTGGGGCGCTGCCGGAGGCCCATATCGCTGGGAACTCACCCACCTTCCGAAGGTGGCACCCTGCTAAGGCGGAAATAGCGGCCCTTCTCTCAGACCTTCCCAGAGGAGCAACGGGAGTGATGTATGTGAAGATCCCTTACCTTACCAGCCTGGGTGGCAGGGCCTAGGAGAGGCAGGCTAGTTGTTTCAGCCTTGGAGGGCCTGGCAGAGGGCAGCAGGAGCCATTTTAGTTTAGGGAAAGCTCCATTTCAGAGAGGGGGAGTGGCCTAGGCCTGAGCCAGCCTTTAGAGCAGCCAGGATTGGTTTATTAAAGGGGGGCGGAGTTAGACTGTTTGGAGGGAAAGAAAGAAGCTTTTTTAGTGAGTCAGTCTGTTGATGTTAGAGTTAGAGCAGGATTAGAGAAGTTTTTAGGAGTTCGTGTTAAGAATAGGCAGTTTGCCTGAAGTTTGCCAGCGAAGTAAGCTGTGGCAAACTGGGTACAGCTATTTAGGAAGAAATAGCTGGGTTTTGTAATTTGTAACAAAGAAAGACCATTCTCATGCAACCGTTACGCTCTCAAGAACTAAAGCATTTTATCTGTAACAGCCAAGCCTCTTAAACAGCATTTACACTTTCTTCTGTACTATATTAAATAAACTTTCCTTGTTTTTTTTTAAACTTAAGCCTGAGTCAAGTGTACATTTGTGGATTTAGTCCCTTTTCCTTTTAATTCAACCTCACCTGTTTTCCTTCAAAGAAGCCCTTTAAAACACAGTGTTTGGTGGTCCTAGAATCCCTTTTTAATATTTTAAATAGCTAGAGTGTTCCTGAACATTTAGTTATGGTGGCAGCGGAAGTTTAATTAGTGAGACATCTCCTCAAATGCTATATATGTGCCAGTGAATTCTTTATTTTGGAGGGACAGTTGGTGGGATTGTTTGACCCCCCTGCCCAGACAGCCATAAACGAGCCGTTATAATTGGTGGCAGCGGTGGGATTGTTTGACCCCCCTGCCCAGAAATATATAAAGCAATCATTTATAACGTACACTCAACATGTGGCCTCTTCGGAGAGCTTCCACCAAGAGAAATAACTCTTTGCTGCCTGACTTGGACTGCAAGCCACCTCCGCTTCCACAAACCTTCCCCAGGGGCATGGGATTTCCAGTTCTTTTAATAAATCAATATTGTAAAAAAAAAATAAAGATGTGGATGGGAAGGGAAATTTTATATGAACTTTGTATAAGAAATTATTGTATGAAATGTAGTTTGTTTCCCCCTTTCCCCCTTGACTTTTGCCCTACTAAAAGTGACCAGGAAATGTGGAAATGCCCGAGGGAGACCCCCTGCCTCCCTCGGAACTCATTTTTGATTGACTCATAAGGCATGGACAATATAGCCATTTGAGATACCAGACATTTGTGATTGTTTTACAAGGGGCAGCGTTGACCCCCTGAGGTCTGCTGCCCACCCTGTTGTCATTCTCAACCAAAACTCATCATGGACAGGAAAGCCTTTGTTTACAGATATTGTATCTTGCCGGCAAGAAACAAAGACAATCATCACAGCCGGCAAATCTGTAATCCCATCATTTCCCCCATTGTCCGCGGTTGTCCCGCCTTGCCTGCTTCTGATTCGCCCATCCTCAGAAGCAAGAAAAGCCTGCTGATTGGCCCTCCAGAGGCAGAGGGTGGGGGATTTGAACTGTTTTCCTTTGTATTTTCTCTATAAATATGCTTGTTACTGCCCTAGCAGCATGCTTGTGGTGGAATGATTCCTGCAATGCATCCGATATCAGCCGAATCGCTAATAAAACACCTCGGTCGCTTGAAAAACTTCTTCCACTTTGGTGAGGATTTATTATTTTAAATATTAATATTTTTATCGCTGAAATTGGCTTTCTCTGGCCTCACCAAGGTTTATTAAGGATTCTCTTTGGTGCAGTCCTCGGGATCTCCCTAGCTGGGGAGATCCTCCTAAAAGTAGTCGATATCATGTAGAGCCCAGTTGAGGTGGTTCTGTTCATCTTGGAGAAGGTGGGGTTTGCAGATTCTTTTTGCATGGTCTGCCAAGGTTTTAATGGTGCTTCTTTTTTGACTTGGGTGATGGTTGGAGTTTTTATGTTCTTAACTACTCTTTTCCACCTAACTCCAAGGAACCCTCTCGGGTGCTGGACGAGTGCCTGGCCGCTGTGGCTGTCTGGATGAGGAGGAACAAGCTGAGGATCAACCCCGACAAGACAGAGGTCCTCCTGGTCGATCGTAAACCGGATCAGGATTTGGGTGGCAACCTGTGCTGAATGGGGTTACACTCCCCCTGAAGTCCCAGGTCCGCAGTCTTGAGTGTCCTCCTGGACTCATCACTTACGCTTGAAGCTCAGGCATCGGCGGTGGCCGGCAGGATCTTCGCACAATTAAGACTTGTGCGCCAACTGTGACCGTACCTCGTGAAGGCGGATCTGGCCAGGATGGTCCATGCCTTAGTCACCTCCAGATTGGACTACTGTAATGCGCTCTACGTGGGGCTGCCCTTGAAAATGGCCCGGAAATTTTAATTGGTACAACGGGTGGCAGCCAGGTTACTAACTGGTGCTTCTTACAGGGAGTGGCCAACCCTCCTGCTTAAGGAGCTCCACTGGCTGCCGTTCATTTTCCGGTCCCAATTCAAGGTGCAGGTTCTTACCTACAAAGCCCTGAACGGTTTGGGATCTGTCTACCTGCGTGACCGCATTTCTGTGTGTGACCGCATTTCTCTTCGATCATCTGGAGAAGCCCTGCTCACGCTCCCACCTCCTTCGCAGGCGGTGGGGATGAAAGAGAGGGCCTTCTTGATGGTGGCCTCTCGACTCTGAAATTCTCTCCCTAAGGACATCAGACATGCCCCAACGCTGGCAGTCTTTAGGAGGAGCCTGAAAACGTGGTTGTTCCAGTGTGCCTTCCCAGAATAGGAAAACTCTTAGCAATATGTTCTCAAATGCACTTTAATATTGATTTAGGATTGTCTGCGCATCCTCATCTTTCTTTGAAAACCCTATCCTAGCTTACCTTGTTCATGCCCAGCATTTTAAATTTTAATTATTACATTTGGCCCGGCCATTGGTTTTTAAATGCTGTATGTTATTGTTATTGATATTGCTTATCACTTATTGTGTATTTTTTGTTTTTGAGTTTTATTTTATTTTAACTGTTAAGTATTGATTATTTGTTATTGCCTTTGTTTATTGGTGCTGTGGGCTTGGCCTCATGTAAGCCACACCGAGTCCCTTGGGGAGATGGTAGCAGGGTACAAATAAAGTTTTATTATTTATTATTATTATTAACAGGGGTACAGGCAGGAAAACAAACTCCACAGGGGTGGTCACCCTTCCCTATGCTATCCAAAGCATAATGTGTGACTCTCAAGCTGCTGCCTTGATATTCTGTGATATAGGACTGTGTGGAAGGACCCCCAGTCTGGTTCTCAAAAAAGCAGCCAGGCCAGATCACCTTATCAACTCTCTCTCTCTTCTCCTTGCATTCCATCATGTCAGAATGACACATGTGGCCTATTCTCCAAGGCTGACATTTGGTGTTCTGACATAACTCCTCTGAGTCCCCCTCCGGGATATAAATGTGTGAAACAATAAATAAATAAATAAATAAATAAATAAAAGGCAGTCAAGAACCAACATTGAGGGAAGTCAATAGTAGTAAACTGCTTAAAGTGCAAAAGGCAAAGAGGGAATACCGTAAAAACACAATCCAGAGCAGAAGAGAAAACTGGCAAAAGAAGGCTCTCCATGGACAGTTCCTGGGAAAAATTGAGAGCCAAAT